GAGTAAATGCGAAGCTTAACCTTTAGAGAAAAGTGTTGGAATCTAAAGGTATTTGCCTAAATCAATCAAAGATAAAGTATATAGAGTGCAAGTTCAGTGCAAATGGAGGTTCAAATGAGTTAAGGGTGAAGATTGGAGACGAGGAAGTACCAAAGAGCGACCGCTTCCGCTACCTAGGATCTATCTTGCAAAAGAACAAAGAGTTGGATGGAGACCTCAACCATAGAATACAAGCTGGATGGATGAAGTGGAATAGTGCATCCGGCGTGTTGTGTGACCGTCGTATGCCACTGAAGCTCAAGGGAAAATTTTATAGGACGACAATAAGACTAGCAATGCTTTATGGTACGAAATGTTGGGCGGTGAAGCATCAACACGTACATAAAATGGGTGTAGCAAAGATGAGAATGCTTCGTTGGATGTGTGGGCACACGAGAAAGGATAAGATTAGGAATGAGGATATCCGAGGTAAAGTAAGAGTAGTCGAAGTTGAAGGAAAGATGAGAGAAAATCAGTTACAATGGTTTAGACATGTGAAACAGAGGCCTACTGACGCTCCGATTAGAAGATGCGATTGCAGGATAGAGGTTCAGGGCCGAAGGGGTAGAGGAAGACCTAGGAAGACTTTGGAAAAGACTTTAAGAAAAAAACTTAGAGTATTTAGATCTAACGGAAGACATGACATATAACTGAGCACAATGGCCTTCTATGATTCATATAGCAAACCCCACTTAGTGGAAAAAGGCTTTGTTGTTGTTGTTGTTGTAACATGCAAGTGGGTTGCGCATTTGGGCTTGGTTTGGTGGTTTGCATGTCTAGGCTTTTGTTGGTTTTTTTTTTTTTTTTGGTGAACTGACTTTTTATTGTTTTTCAGGTCTCTTTTGTTGTTTTTTGTTGTTATGATTAAGAAAAATTCATTGAATACTTTTGAATGTCTCCCTTATTGAGTTGTTACACCTCCTATACAGACACCAAATTTAGTTAAACTGCGGTTGTGTCCCCTTGTGAACTTAATAAATTGATATATTTTGTCCAAGTATTTGTCAGCACATCTATTCGGATTCTATATCCACTATCTATTCAATATGTATTCAAGCACAATAAAAATACAATGATTACAACAACCTCAACAATATATTGTCACCTTATGCCTATGGTAAGGGCTCTATCCTATTTGGGAATGCACAATTATTTAATGTAATTTACTGCTTTAACGGATTAGATTTCAACGTGGAAAAATTCCGGCAAGATCTCCCTACAATTCTTCAAGTGCACGACGTAGATGTAAAATACCTAACTTGCACTCAAGGCATGTAATGAGATGTTACCAAAATTCCCACGATTGAAACCTAATTGTAAACCACAAACTACGACACATAACGGTGCATTCCCAAACAGTTCAAAAAATGAGACAATTCAGGAATCAATTGGACTGCAGTCATGCTTTCGCATCCATGCCTGAAATCTAACTAATTCTCAAATGGAAAACTATTTTTTTTTTTTAACAAAGGCGTACTAAGTTAAGTACTATTAACTCCATATAACAGAAAACATTTTTGTCTGTGATGTACAAGAATATTTGCATACAAATAAATTAAATCATAACAATTTTAAAATATAAATTAAATAACTTAAATTAATACAAAATAAATTAGCAAAGAAAATAACTTCAAATTTGTTCTTCCCTGATAAACATATACAACAATCCTATAGAAAAAAAATTTACTTTTGTTAGTATGAATTCACAATGAAAAAATTAAATACAAAATCAAATCGCTAACTGGATATTGCAGGATAGATTGATGAAGGGAGAAGGGATTGATATGGAGGTGGAGGTGGAGATTGAGATGGAGGGAGTATTAGAGGATGAATTTGAGAGAAACGGAACGAGTAGGGGGTGGATTTGAAGAGAGATGAGAGAGGGAGACGTAGGGAGGCACCAACTTTTACAGTTTTTGCCTTTCCAGCTAAGCATTCTAATTATAAACACGAAAACCTTGCACGATGAGCCCTTCATCGCACAAACATATATCGTCGATAAACCCTACTCCACTTTATGCGACGAACTATTCGACCCTGCGAAGTATCTTTGAGCGATAAATGTCTAATTTGTCCCACTAAAACACTTTAAGCGACGAATATGGGTCTTCATCGCACAAGTTATTTATTATTTTTTAAAGTTTATCAATATAGCCTAATTTTTTTTAATAAATTTAAGAAAATAAAATATTTGAATAAACTATTCAAATCATCCATATAAGGTAAATCAAATTAAGCATATAAATACTTAAAGTAAATATTTAATCCAAATACAAATTAAATTTTCTTTTAAAGCTACCATCCAAAAATACAAATTAAAAAATTATTTTATTCGTCCATAACATCTAAATAAAACATCTACTGTGCTATTGGGGTTTCTACATTTGGCTTGACGTCAGATTTCCACTCCTGGTAATGCCTCCTAAATATTTCATCGATGAACTTCATTAGGTTACGGTCCGTTTGATCAATAACATAATTAGCTTGTTGTACAAAAAATAATTAAATATTAAACATTATGCTATAATATATAACAAAAATAATTATTAACTTACTACGACACTACCTCATAAGTCATCCAATATAGATTTTTTTCATGTCCTCTGACATGTTTTCCAAGACGCCCACTCCGTAGGACATTTGTTCTACGATATTGTTCCAATGTCGTGCTCACCTTTTGCTTCTTAGATCCCCAGAACGATTCATAGGTAATTCGCCTTGGCCCGTCATTGTTCCCCCTTTTGACCCGCCTAGACATTCTCTTTTTTTTTTTTTTTTTTTTTTTTTTTTTTTTTTTTTTTTTTTTTTTTTCTTTCTTTCTTTCTTTCTATACGGAAAAAAAAAAAAAAAAAAAACCTTAAGCAAACTAATTTGGTATTACCTTTATGAGATCCTTCTCCCTCACATCCCTGGTTAGTTGGAGCAACAGCGGAATCGGCCATCATACAGAAAAATAAAACAAGAATTAGGATATGACGGGCTTGGGGAAGAAGAAAACGAGAAGGCCAAGAGGGGTTTGGGGAAAAGTATGAGGAAAAAAGGGAGGGTGGATCTGTGATTTTATAGAACTCGTGGGTCCTTTGCGCAGCAAAGGCTTCGTCGTGCAAAGATTGTAGTAATTACTCTGCCTTAAATGTCTCACCGACCATTTCTGATAGTTTTGCGCGATGACCAATTCGTCACGCAAGAATTATGTGGGAAAAAGGGTCGCTGCGCGAGATGTTGGCCTCAACTCTCTAGTTTTGCGCGTATTTCTCGACCTTTGCGCGATGAGTAGTTAGTTTTGTCATGCAAAGGAATCTTGAGCAAAGAAACAGTTCGTCGCATAATGTCCATTACACAACAAAATTGGATGTTTTGCATAAAGTTTGGTCGCGCAAGTAGTTTTTTCTGTCAATGCCACAGTAGTAAATTTAGCACCACACTACAAAATTTCTCCTTCCGGCATAGCTTTGTAATAGGGTGAGACCAAGCGAATGAAAACAAAACAAGACTGCTACATCTCCCTACATTTTTTTTTTCTTTCTAATAGCAACAGAATGATTTACTTAATCGTGAAACAAATACAGTAGAAATAAATAAAAATGCACCAAATTGCTTATCCTTCTATCCAAGCATTAACATCTGAATGAGAAATAGCACAACGAGACAAATACAGTATGAAATAAATAAAAATGTACCAAATTGCTTCTCCTTCTATCCAAGAATTAACATCTGAATGAGAAATAGCACAACGAGCTAGAGGATGGGCAACTGAAAAATGCATCTTTTTAATGTGTTCGACTTCCTGTTTTAGTTAAAACCTACGATATGATTAATGCTATCATATGGTTATTTTGTTTTTCATGGGGAAGTTTGCAACCTTCTTATTTTGAATTTCCTGATGCTGGTGAAACGAATGATGGTGGTTAGAGAGAAGTTGAAATGTTTATGTGAGTCTTCTTGGCGCCCAGAATAGTGGATTGACGTGACGAAGCTACCAGCTGATTCCTTTAAAAAAAAAATTAAAAAAATTCTGATTCTACATTCTCATCTTGTTTTACAATCCTTTTAACATGCTTGACGATAAGAACTTTTTATTTCCTCTTCGCAATCTTTGATCAATAGCTACATGACAACTCAACTCAACGATTTGGGATCGAGAAATAGTTTGTTTTGAGAAACTCTAATGGGATTGTGCATCTCCTTCAAGGGAGACTAAATTTGCAAAAAAAATTAAAAATAAAAAAAAATATGGAAGTTGATGTTTGATTTATTACTTAAACGTTGATAAACATACTCATTCCTATTAGTGACAAATAATTTAGTTTACAAATTTTATCTCTAGATTTAGTCTCTCAAGCATTACCCTTTTTTAGGGGCCACAATGTTGGCTCCCTATCTTTTGTGTACGTATTCTTTATTTCATTAATGTATATAAAAAGATCACATATTCACTATGGGTGGGTAACGCTAACTTGTAACTAAATACTTTAGAAAAATGTGAAATTACCCTTATTTTGAAAATCAGTACTAAAGACTAGTAATATTCCTTCATCCTTGTAAATATATTGTTGTATAAAACGAAAAGTATTCCTTGTAGATTTGAAAATCTTTCTTTTCTCTAAATGGCGTATGAGTTAAGGAGGTTAATCCATAAAATAAATGTTATTCTAATCTCCTAAAAGTCATCAAACATATCTTATTATTCTCGTCTGAAATTTGATTCCAAATGTTTGATTTAGTAACTGTTATTCTAATCTCCTAAAAGTCACCAAACAAATTTTATTAATCTCGTCTGAAATTTGATTCCAAATGTTTGATTCAGAAAAAAAATAAAAAATAAAAAAGATATAATATAAGAGATTTGTAGACTTGCCCGCAAGCTCTTGATCCAAGACTCTAAAGAGAGAAAAGTCATAGGCTAACATCCACCACTCATCATCTATCTCAAGCAGATACGACAGATTCCAACAGCTCATCTGGAATCCCACTGAATCATGATGCTCAAGTGTCTCAACTTCCATCTCCATCCCCATCTCCACGCCTCTGCAATCACCAGAATTAACCCAAAACCGTCCTCTCACTCTGAATATCCCACCACCACCCCTCTACTTTCAACCACCAAATTCCACACCATCACCAATGTACAATCCAATATCCACCACCTCTCACTTAGAAGAAGCCCCATTTTCACCACCATGGCATCAACCAAACGCAATCCTAGTCCCAATTTCGACGAATTCGAATTTGAATCCGATCCAACCCTTACCAATGATGATCTCAAGCCCACAAGACCTGATCAAAGGACATTTTCCAAGTGGGAAATGGCTTGTCTTTGGATTGGACTAGTTGTGGGAGTCCCAACTTACTACTTGGCTGGCAGTCTTGTTGACCTTGGCATGGCTTGGTGGCAAGGAATTGCCACAGTTGTAGCTGCCAACATAATCCTATTAGTCCCACTAATCCTAACAGGCCATCCAGGCACAAAATATGGTATCTCCTTCCCTGTTTTAGCTCGATCTTCGTTTGGTATTCATGGTGCTCATATTCCCACTCTTCTTAGAGCATTAGTTGGTTGTGGTTGGTATGGAATTGAGACTTGGATTGGTGGTGAAGCAATCTTCATTCTATTACCAAATTCAATTAAGCAATCCTATATGTCCCAAACCCTACCTTGGCTAGGCACATCCCCATTGGAATTTGCTTGTTTTATTGTGTTTTGGGTTGCCCAATTGGCCATTGTTTGGAAAGGAATGGATGGAATCAGAGAGCTTGAGAAGTACTCAGCTCCAATTCTCATCACACTTACTTCCTGCCTTGTCATTTGGGCTTATGTTAAGGCCGGCGGTTTTAGCCACATGCTTTCCTTGTCCTCTAGACTAACCACAAATCAGTTTTGGTCCCTCTTTTTTCCATCCCTAACTGCTAACATAAGCTTTTGGGCTACCCTTGCTCTTAACATACCGGATTTCACTCGGTATGCCAAGAGCCAGACTGACCAAATCGTTGGTCAAGCCGGGCTTCCAATCTTCATGGGGGCATTCACATTTGTTGGTCTAGCTGTGACCTGCTCCACAGAAGTGATTTTCGGGCGTGTGATTTCGAGCCCCATCCAACTCCTCGGGCAAATTGGAGGGTTCACTACAATAATCCTAGCCATTGTCGGTGTTAGTCTTGCCACTCTCACAACCAACATTGCAGCCAATGTTGTTGCCCCTGCAAATGCTCTTGTCAATCTGAGCCCTTCAAAGTTCACATTCCGAAGCGGAGCCATTGTCACAGCCTTGCTTGGGATTGCATTTCAACCTTGGCGGCTTCTGAAGTCGAGTGAGAGCTTTGTTTACACTTGGCTGGTTGGATATTCTGCTCTGTTGGGTCCAATTGGAGGCATAATTCTCGCAGATTACTATCTTATCCGAAACACAAACTTGAGCCTCAAGGACTTATACTCAACGAATGCTTTTGGGGATTACTACTATTCAGGTGGCTACAATTTAGCAGCCATGGCAGCTCTTCTTGTTGGGATTTTGCCCGTGGTTCCGGGCTTCTTGCAGAAAGTCGGCGTTCTTGTGTCGATATCAGATGTTTATGTGATCATATATAACAATGCCTGGTTTTTCAGCTTTTTCTCTTCTGGTTGTTTCTACTGGCTTCTGTCACGTTTGACAAGAAAGCAGGAGTCTCAACCTGCACAAGACCCCCTCTTGCGTCCTGCAAACTAAGATAGCAAAATTCCATACGGTTTGTAAAGAAGGAAACTTCACTTTGTAGACATTTTGGATGACTTCAAATCTGAAATTTCTTGAATAATAAGCCATCTGTAGGGTTTGCTTACCTTGAAAAATTGTATTATCGAATATGCATTACAGCAGCCAAAGGGGATTTACTTGTAATATAATTATAAGATTATGAGTGATGCATTATTGATATATGGTCCCTTTCATTTGTCTAAAATTTATGGGACTAGCAAGGTCCGCATGCTTAATGGTTGGCCATGTGATCGAGTGATCGAGACAAACATTGAAAGATGAGCGTTTGATGATTATATTTGATGACGGTGTCTCAGTATAACATAATAATTTTGCTAGAAGGGTAAAAACAAACTTGATATGATATATTATGTCAAAGGTTTTCAATTTTCACAGTAATAAATTTTGGGTATGGCACAGTGATCCTACGTAACATGCCAATTACAAAATCACATCCCATACAAGCAAAGAAGGCATTAATTTCATCAGCTTTCTTCAATCTTCCTGCATTGCTTTCATCCTTCAGCTCTCCTCCTATTTTCTCTCCTGTTATTTTTAGTGGAGAGTTCCCAATACATGAACTAAGTACTGACTTCACCGGTTTAACTTTCTCTGTTTTTAGTAGAGTGATGGGATAGTGGGTTAAATAGTTAGTTGTTAGGAAGAAGAAGAATCATTGGAGAATGAACTCGCATCATAATGCATAAGCATATTTACTTTTCGTCACTGCAGTAAAGCGTCATCTGCACCGTTTTAACTGTCTTGACAGGGACTTCGAGCAAGCCTTTTTCTCCATTTTATTCTTTAATAACCAAGGTTTCAAGTTTAAATTGAGCAACTCATAGCTAGCAGCTACCTGAAGAAGGAGTGGGCCTCCAAATGGACCATAAAGAAGAAAAAAAAGGAGCAGGCATCCATCTTGCTGGGCCACAATCTTTTCATTTGGCTTCCCTTTCTCTTTTTTAGGATATGACACTTGTCCTTTTGTATGTCAGGTATTTCACAAATGTAAATATACACATGCGCGAGCATTTACGGTAGCTCTCAAGCACTAACAAGTCAATAACTTACCACAATTCTAATCACTTGTTTGGACTGGTTCCACATAAAGGAATCATGAACTAAATTGTTGAATTTTTAGATTCTTATTCATAAATCATCATATAGTGATTTTTTGTGCATATTGTAATTTTTGTGAAAATATGTATATTGTGAAACTAGGGAATAGGGAATATTGTGAAAAATAGTATTTTTGTAAATATTGTGATTTATGCGAAAATAGTGGATATTGTGCAAGTAGTGGTTTATTGAATATTGTGATTTTTGTGAAATTAGTGAATATTGTGAAAATAGTGATTTTGTGAATATTGTGATTTATGTGAAAATGAGGAATATTATGAATATTGTGAAAATATTGACTACTGTGAATATTGTGATTTTTGTGAAAATATGAAATATTGAATATTGTGAAAATATTGACTACTGTGAATATTGTGATTTATGAGAAAATAGGGAATATAGAATATATAAAATTATATTGTCGAAATTAAATTTGTAGAAAATATGTGAAAATTGCAAAAAGTGTTGTGTTTTTCTTTTTCACAAAAGTCATCGTGGTAGATCACTAGTAGCCACTACTCTACCTTCGCTTCGAGGCAACATGACATGGCGGATGGATACCCAACGACACCTAGATGGGCCACTAACGAGTCGACGGTTAACCCCAGCACATCTAATGCATCAAGGCGGGTAACTGGATCTGCCATGCGTCTTCACATACTTCATCAAAGCACAATCAACACGCAAAAAGATTAATTCATTCAAAGGAAAAAGTGCAAGACCCTGAGTCCAATAACTAGGGCAAATTGTTCAAATTATGGAAGGATAACCTTCTTCTTGGCCAAATGAATTATCTCAGAATTAAACCTACAATTACATCTTAGAAATAGTTACAACATCAACAACCTTACCTTCATCTATAGTAGATGGACCTTTACGGGGAGCTTAAGAATCGACATGAGCGGTTTCTTTCAGAATCACGTCAGAGTCGAAGCCTGACGCAGCTTCCTCAGATGCCTCTAGCTCTGCGGCCTCCCCTGCCAGCTCATAAGGAACCAAAAATTTTACCTTCTGGATCTGTGCTAATTTGCGGCAGACATCCCATCAGTTGGGATGGCCTCTGGCATAGCCCCGATGATAATCTTTAGAATACTTTAGTGGCAATGCAGCCTCGAACGTTGTGCGGATCTCGGCTGACTCCACTTTTTGTCATCCATAACTTGCTGAAGAGCTTCAATAGAAGATCCATTCCTCAAGTTTGCTTCTTCCTAAACCCTATCCAATTCTGACTGGAGAATTCGATCAGCATCCCATGTGCTATATTCCGCTACTAGCATCCCCTTCTGCATTGTCCTTAGCCTTTAATGCTAGCCAGATTCCGCCTCGAGTTTAGCCATGTTCGCTGTAACCTCATCAGCCATTCTCTTGACAACACAGTTACTCAGTCAGGTTGTTCCGCTCAACGTCTTAGGAGCTCCATCTCTCGCTCCTTGGCCAGAAGCTTCTCCAGCTCTACACTCGTTTCCTACAGCTGTCTCTTTAGCTTGATTCAGCAAGCAAACTCGTCCTTATTAGCCACCTCCAGATTATAGATCTTTTCAGCCTGTCTCTAGAATGTAGTCTCCATCTAAGCATTTGCCTGATTTGATGTATTCGTGAAAAACAAGATGGGAAACTAAAAGAAGCAATGTTAAATTATTGGAAAGATAGGAAAAACTCCGGGTATCAGCTCTAGTAACAATTCTTCACAAAGTGGCCAGACTCTGCAATTACCTCTTCAAAATCAGTGGGAGAAATAGTTGAACGAATCAAGGCATGGGGATTAGGCCTGGCAAACAGGTCGTGTCTGTCGTGTTCGTGTCATTTTCGTATAACACCTGTTATCTTAACGGGTCATGTCGTGTCACACCCGTTATCTTAACGGGTCCTTAACAGGTCGGGTCACTTTACCCAACAAGTAAAGTGACCCGACCCGTTATGACCCGTTAAGAAAAAAATATTTTTTTTAAAATTTGCACATACCGCACATTGCCACATAAATATTACTTCAAAACATAAAACATTTGTCGTTTAAGTACTATATCTACACTCGAAAATAAGAGCCTAATAAAAAAATAATACATACACTACTAATCTATTACACATATTAAATGTGCAAGGATAAAGAGTTTTTGTTCTCAAAAGTTTACACCTCCATTTACAAAATCTTCAATTTATATCGATCATCATGAAATTGTATTGGAACTTTGGCTTGATCTATTGCCTTCAAGAGTTATGTTGAAGATGTTTTTAGTAAGGTTTTCCACATCAGAACTCTCTTCCGCATAAACTAAGTATAGAAAAACCAAACATTAAAAATCATTCAAATTATGAGAAGTTTACCAAAATAATAATACTATACCATATAAAAATATATTACCTCCTTTTCCAAATAGCCAATCTCGTGTGCACAACAAAGCTTGAACTATTTCTGGAACTACGATACTGATCTAGTACTCTACCCCCAATACTAAATGCAGATTCTGATGCAATAGTTGAAATGGGAATTGTTAACACGTCTCGTGCTAACTGAGAAAGTATCGGATAATGAAAACGCTCCATTTGCCACCAAGAAAGAAAATTGTTAAATTAATGTATATAATTATTAATATTATAGTTGATTCATACTTTTATTAAGTATATAACATTAGATTTTGTGATATCCACATCCACTAGTGTAAATATTTTAAATTGAAGATCAAATTCATTCTTTGTATTCATATAGGGTCAAGGAGTGTAGCTGTAAAAAATCATCAAAATCGGAGTTAAAATAACCGTTAAATCGTGATTTTTCGTTTATAACCGTCGAAAAATTTTATCTCGTTACTTGATCCTTGAATGTTTGTTTTTTGCAATTTTTTGCTTATGTGATCTCGAAGCGTATACAAATAAGTTGACGGTTTAGATCGTTGAAATTAGTTTTGGAGAATTCGTATCCCATCAAAACGATAGATTGACACTTAGAGTTTATTTATACTTTCATTAAGTATAACATAAGATTTTGTGGTATCCACTTGTGTAAATATTTTAAATTGAAGATCAAATTCAATCATTGTATTCATATAGGGTCAATGAGTGTATGTGACATCCCGTCCTGGAAATATCGAAACGCACATGTGAATTTACGACTTTGCCCCTAGTTCGTTTTTGTCACGTTGTGGACTGTTTTGTGAGGTGTGGACCTGTGTTGGGCCACACACCCCCACTCTCTCTCACTTTCCCTCACCCTCTGTCTCTTTCTCTCTCTCTCTCTCTTCCCCCGAGCCCATTATTCTTCTTCTTCCTCAAACAAACGTACGGACACACACACACCCACCCTAAAACATCACAGATCGAGGGATCCAAGACCACCATCGTGCTTGTGAGGCTGAGAGGAGTCCAGTGGTATCATTTTCAGGTAAGAACTTCAACGTTTTCACGTCGAAATCGCCATGTCCGTTTTAGCTACTATTCATGCAAACCTAATCTAGCATGTTTTTGGACATTCTAAGCTTGTAGATGTGTTAGTGAGGTCCCAAGGAGCTTGGGAGTGCTTCGTTGGGTGAATTTGGACGTCGGGAAAGCTTGGTTCAAAGTTGGCCGAACTTGGATCGTTGTTGCAGGTGAGATTCTTTGATTTTTAGGCCTTAAAACTAGTCTAACGTGAATCTACTAGTCCTAAGCTTCATTTTGGTATAAAGAACGTGAAAATGGTTGAAAAACAAGTGAGAAAACAAAGTTGGAAAATTTTGCAGTTTTCCGGCCGGCGGCGGCGGCGGCGGCGGTGGCTCGCCGGAGAAGACAGGGGAATATTCCGTTAGGGTTTAACGGAATATTCCTAACGGACAGTAACGGCGTCAGTCAAGGTTAACGGAATATTCCAGGGAATATTCCTGACGGCGTCACTTGACGCCGTCAGCGTGCAGGTCACGTGGCCGCGCGTGGGGGCGCGTGGACCCGTGTCTGTGCTGGCGCGTGGGGGCGCGTGACGTGTCCAAAAATTATTTTAAAAATATGGTTGTGATCGTGAGGTTGTGTAGATCACGTTGGTATATTCATTTGTCCATTTTGAGCAATGTATGAGAAGTTATTTTGAACGGACGGT